GACATCGAGACAAATATCAGCTCCAGATTCTTTGACATCTTTGGAGGTGTTGGCAGAGAGGAATGAGGCAGGGCGGTTGGTTAGTTCGATCCAAAGCAGCAAAATCGAAGATGAACCAGAGATCGCGGAAGCAGTTTCTCTTCCACTGGAAGCCGCAGAAACGGATCAAGAGCTCTACCGTGAAGAAAACCTCAGTGTTGGATCTGCGTGACATGATGGAGACATCCTCGCGCGTCGTAATTTTATCAAGTACCAGCAGGAGACATGATGGATCAGCTGTGCGTTTGTGAGTATTGTAACTGTTTTCCAAGAAAATGAAACAGCATGGCGAGCATCATTTCAGGAAAATGACATATACGCATTATCCATTTATGTTTTGTCCTTGTGCTTTGTCCTTCTTGAAATTCAGCTCAGATTCAACAATTGCAGCTATGTATATATATATATATATATTAAACCATGTGAAGAAGCCCTCCCTGTGTTGTGAATACTAGCCGTGCAACACAAAACATATTCTCCACCACTTGAAACACCGGCTCTGCATCGGATAGTGAATGTGCTGTATTGTAGTCCTTGGTAGAGCAAGCACCATCACTTGCTTTTCTCAGTCCATGTCACGTCGTCTAATGCAATCGTATCTCAGTTATTGTGAGCGATCATTGCAGAACCACACATAGATATTGTCCAAGATTCTGCATCAACGCCAAGCCAAATGGAGTAACTGATGACGGCAAACATGCTGCCTGAATTTTATAAAGAAAACTGCAAGGGTGCAAGGGTAGTGAAAAGACTATGCCTGAGTTTTGCGTTCACCACTCAAAAAAGATCCAATATGCAGTCATGGCACACGAAAAGAATAAAGGACTGGACGCTATGAGGCCACAGCAATGCCTTCCATGAAGGCCTTCCTCTTCGAATTCCTAGTGCGGTTGAAGGCCAAGCATTCTGAAACTGTGCGAAATAAGTATAATTGACTCAATTCACCTTACACCTCTGGTCAATGTCCACAAGAGCCAATACAACGTATAGAGGGTTCAATTTCTTAGAAATTGAAGCCCTTTCTCCCCTGGCCTGATACTCAATTTCCTCATGGTGCTCTTGCCGGCGCTTTTGATAGTCTGCAAACAGCTCCTGATGAATGGTCACAAAACTCGCTTGATACTTTTGGAAGTGTGACATTGCAAAGCAATTCATTACAAAGCAATACATTGCAAAGCAATGCAGCAACACACCCTACATAGGTTCCGAACCTCGGAATCTCCCTGAAAAAGCCTGTGGACAAAAGTACCGGGAAGGTCACGTGAAAAATCCTTGTGACACAAATATGTGTTCCAATTCAATTTAAAAAACTTATGAAAAGCTTCTAGCTGGGCTTTAAGGAAAAAAGACTTACCGCCGTTGCCAGTTTCCGAGCCCAGTTCCAAGGCCCCATGGTGATTCCTAGTTTCCCAATTATAGATATACAAGATACTTTCTATTATATATATATTATATGTATACAAAAAAATATGGAAACACCATAAGTATACATATATATATATATATACATGATCCTACATGGAGAATAATGAGTTGCCATTCACAGAGGAGAATAATCAACAGAATCTCCAGGCTTGTCCGCTCCTTCCGTGGACGGCCAGTCTCTAGTGCCCTGCCGGGAGCGGCTGTCAGTTGAAAATGTATCAGCTGTTAAAGAGAAAAGCATAGCTTCTTGTTTCTAATGGCTTCTTGTTACTGCTAGTAAGGCACTTGTTACTAGTAGCGATGCACTTGTTACTGATAGCTATTCAGAGGGAAGAAGTTCCGAGAATCAAATTGCAGGTTTGCACCATCCTTGTCACGCTGGCAAGGAAGCGCGTTGCCCGCTGCCCTCAGTTGTCCATACCATCACATCTTTTGTTGCTCTGCAACATCCTGCAACTTCATTTCCAGCCAACAGCTTTCTGTTAAAGTGGTGACACTCGCTTCAGGGAAGAAGTGTCATGGTTTCACTTCGCATGCTGGCCTTGACAGCAGGCTCATTGCAATCCAGTTCGTCTGCGTGGTTTTTCAAATTAAGAATGCAGGAATGCTTTCAGGGTTGCAACAGTGGCAAACAAAATCAAATTCAATCAGGATGGGTGTCTTTAAAGCCATCCAAATGACCTACTGAATACAAAACTGTGTGGTCCAGGCAAAAATATATAGGGTAGTCGGGTAGTCGGTGATGCCCTGCATCTCCTCCCATGTCCTCCCCAAATTGACCTACAGGTTAATTCCACACATTTGCCAAGAAACACCGCGACCAAGAGCCGCTTCTCTGTACGTTGCGAGTATTTCCGGTGACGGGATCATGCTGCAGCATGTCCTGGCAAAAAAACAAAGTGACAGGATACCGTTCGTGCTCCCTTGACGAGAATATCTCCATATACAGTAACAATATATGTGTGTACATGTATATATACATAAATAAATGTAGGCATCCAGGAATCCATACGCAAGAGGGTAGGCATCCATAGGTAAGAGGGACCTTGACATTCAGGACCGAAGTATTTGCCAACTGGGTTCAGCCAAGGGTCTTCGAAGAAAATCTCCATTGGTACAGCGCCTTTCCTTGCACTTGCATTCAGAGACTTGGTTGTCCTCCTTTCAATCCCAAGCCTCTATTTACAAAAACAATAAGTCACAACACATCCTGTCGCATCAAAGCATCTTTCCCGTTTGGACACGGGTTTTTGTCTCTCCGCTGCGATACGCCATCTCAATCTTGGTGCTGACCTTGCGAGTGTAGTCCCGCCAACCTTGCGGAAAGGCAGTACAACGCAGCAAAAATCGACGTCTCCAAAATATCCGAATGCAAGTTGCATCAGGTTGCTATCTCAACATATAACTAAAAGTGTGGCGGACAAGCGGTCAACATTGCGGCCACGGTGCCAGTCTTATGTTCCCATTGCCACGACACATTGGGATAAAGATCTTCCACAGCTGTGGTATCTGAATGCTGGGTAAACGTCGATAGCCAGTCACCTTCAAAACAGCCGATTTCGTCGCTTTCTGAGATGTCACATGCACCTTGCCGTTAGATGGCGATCAAGCTTTCACGGGGAAAAAAATATGCAAAAAACAGTTCCACCAAACATGGCAGTGACAAAGTTTGATAAAAATAGTCTTTTTCGTGCCACGGGGCCAAAGAAGCTCTTGTTGTGGCTAGCTGGACTTACCTCAGCTAGGTCTATTCGGATCTTGGAAGAGTCTAGCAAGGCTGTCCTGCTTGGATGGAACCTGGTCAGCAAGTACCTACCTCCAAGTCTGTCGAAAGGCTATTCGCTACCAAATCAAAATGCATCAAAAGGCTCTGCGTATTGGATGCTGCTGTCTGTCTTGCCAAAATCAGAGTGTGTAACCCAAAAGTGGGAAGACGTGGGAAGCTTTTGTTCTCAAGGCTGTTTTGGCAAGCTCCTGCAGTTTCTGAGCACCTCACCTCCCTTTTCGCACCACAGGTCGGTGGCGGTGACCCAGGCGATGCAACCTGTGCCAGCCCAAGGAAGTGAGAAAACACCAAAAACTAATTAGTAACAAGTGCCACGCTAGTAGTAACAGGTGCCTTACTACTAGTAACAAGTGCCTTACTACTAGTAACAAGAAGCTATTAGAATTAAATTAAAACAAATTAGCATTCTAATTTATATATTGTTTCTACTAGCGTCCTTGTTACTACTAGTAAGGCACTTGTTACTACTAGCGATGCACTTGTTCCTAGTAGCTTATTGTTTCTAATTAATTAGAAATGAATTCACTTTTGGATATCTCTTCCACTCATTATGCGAAAGCTCATTATAAAATTACATAAATCTTTGAACGTAGCGCCATTTGCAGGAATGGAATGGGGCAGCTGGCAGAGAAGCATCAAGAGGAGCAAAGTGCACGATACAAATATATGTCGGATTTGTTCGGTTATGCAGAGTTTAGGCATGTGCCGGCCTCTGCCTCGGCAGGGAGCTCAACATGCTTCTCTTTCCGAACAACGGCCTCCATAGCAACTCAAACGAAGCCAAACGGAGTCAGAAGTGGACGCGTGCACAAGAAATGACAAACTAGACCCTTGGACTTGCTTTGTCTTTCTGTCTTCCTTTCTCCATCAAGGTAGACCTGCTTTTGCAGCAGCGCAGTTTTTTGGCGGCCTCTTCCACCAGAGCACCAGGTAGATGGCTCGCCTTGGCACAAAACAGCCAGTCCTCACCGGTGGTCCAAGCCTTCTATGACGCTGCAGTCAAGTGGCTGGCTGTATGCCTTCCGTACCTCCAAGCCGTTCCTTCTTGACTTCCTCTCCAACTTCTGTCATTGGCGACGAAAGTACGCATCATGGCATCGTAATGCGCCACACCACGACAAATGGCAGCGTGATCTAGTCTCAAGTAAGGTAGGTGATTGGACGCTGCATTCCTGTCATCGTAACTGGGGTAAGACTTTGCTATGGGTTGAAGCATACGTCATATTGTCTTGCGTTGGTGCAAAAGCCTGACTGCTCCAAAGCTGCAGAACACATACAAGTATCAAAACACTTAACTTGATCCTTGTGTTGATGAGGCTAAAGCAACAAAAGTGCCTTGTGTAATGAAAAGGACAGCCACCGCTAGACACCCTACCCTAGGTACAGAACATTTCGATACATTTCGTATCCCCTTTGGACTCGTCTCACGGGTGATGCATCCAAACAAACCCGAGTCTTAAGCCCTTGGTGTTTCTCATTGTCATAGATCCTGGAACGATTAAGTACCGAGGGATTCTTAGACCTGCGGAGCTTCATGGCTTCCAGGTTCATGGAGGTCTGCCATAGCTCTTGAGGATTTTTGAGGGTGTTCTATTTTTCCCCCAGGTTCGACACGCTGATGCTGTCTACTTCAAGCCTCATTTACTTTGAGAATCTGCGCAATATAGTTTGACAGTGTCGCAAGCCCTTGGCCATCCCCTGATTCCATGACATGTTCTCGAGTCTTATTGCATCATGACAAGGCTTCGACCAATGAAAAAACTTCATCTCCGTGAGGGCTGCAAAGTCGAAACCGAAGATAGTCCGGACGGCTCATCTCGAGATGCAACCTGAGGCCGCGTGGAGGTGCTTATTGGTTTGATGCTTACATGCCCCGAAACAGTGCAATCCATGTGCAAAAATTGATGCACTAGCATATTCAATCATATTCAGATTGAGAGCAGTGACACCACATAGATGTCAATCTTCCGAATCTTCGAATCTTCAATGCGTCAGAACTACAGAGAGCCCTTTTGACCCTTTTTCTTTTTCTATGCTCAAAGAATCCGAGTCTTCAGCCAAGAAGCGCTTCATTTGACACTCATCATAACTCACTGTCGTCAAAATGGCATGGTCACTTGCTGGCAACGTATTAGAATAGTGATAAATATGTTGTCAAATAACGTCCTCAAGCATGGGCTAGCGGCTATCGTGACTACTTTTGTCTCAAACGAATCGTTGTAAAAACGATGTAAATAACGGTGTAAAAACTGTTGCTTGCCAAACGATGTAAATAACAGCTGTCCACAAATAACACGGCAATCTTTGTAAGAAACGCCCTGGCTTCTAGTCAAAGGCTCTTGGCACAGCTGCTGTGAAGTAAAGCAAAGGCAGTGCAGGCTCTTGTCATTTCTTGTAAATAAGATTCAATAAGCCAATCCAAAACAAACCAAAAAGTAGGAAGCCACTAACAAAAACGAATGATCACCAACACGTCGTCTCTCCCAAATAGGAAGGCCAAGCAAGCTAGTTACAAGCCAGTACACGCTCTCAAGGGTACGAAGCCAGAACCTTTGAGGAAGCCCAGTCCAACAGAAAGCGGTCTTGGCTCTGCCAAAAAGTCTTGCCTTTGTTTGAATAAAGCGCAATTTCAAGCCCAACAAAACAAGCGGTTGTTGTCTCCCTTGAGCAAAGGATGGCAAATGCTTTCTGCTTCTACGAAATGCTATGCTAGTCTCTTTACTGTCAAATCCAGCGCCCAAACAGCAAACAGCACCCAAAAGAGAAAGGCATCCGGCATGAGAGTTGATTTGTTCCCAGTTGGAAGCAGTGCAAAATGATGTACAATGTCAAAAGTATGTTGAAGGCAGTTGAAGCTGAAGGTACAACAATTGAGCATTGGGCACTTGAAACCTTGCAATTGGGGATGAATTTCAATTGATCGAAACTCGAATCTCCCAAGGTCCCTACCCTGGTAGTTCATCTCTCACGTTCTCAGCCTTCACACGTGTTCTGACAGCAAACCTTGAAGAACTAGAAAGTGTGAGCAAAGAATAGGCTAGAGTCTGGAGACTCCCAAACATGTCCGAGCTTGAAAAACACTGAACAGCTCAAGCAGCAAAAAACTGGAAACAGCAAATTTGCCTCAAGGTTTAAGAAGTGAGAGCTCGGAGGTAGTGCTTAGCACGCCTGGCAGCGGAAGTCCGCTAGTTGAGCAAGGGCTCGGAGATCACGGCTCCAATGGAGCCAGGTTGCGCCTCAGAATCCGCTCAACTAACCTGCGAAACGAAACGGAAAGAATAAAGCTATCCAAAGTATTAAGATATGTTCTTAAAGCCCGGGGGCTGAGGCCATAGAGGGAGGTAGTAGCTAGGTAGCTAGTAACTAGCTAGTAGAAGCTAGGACGCAGGATAGCGTGGCGGGGGGAGCTTCCTTGAAGAAGTGTTTGCACTGCATTATATATTCATTTGGTTCCTAGATTTTTTGGGAAGCTGAACTAGTATCAAGAATTAAGGATACCAAGCCTATCCAAAGCTCCAGGTTTGTCCTCTTGGATGCTTTCTGCATCTTAGCTCGCAAAATACTGTAGGTTTTTTGGCACGTGCATTTGTTCGAAACAAGGACAAGGTCGACTTGTAGCCTGATTTTCAGACCACACGACTCTGTCGTTCGCGGTCGCGGGCTCTCAGAACTTCCATGTACTCATACAAGATGGCTCTTGTTGCGTCAAATTCTGCCTGCAAGTTGGCGAGCAAAAAAAAAAATTGGCTACAAGGAGGCACCAGGCATTGCCGGCATCTGCGACAAATGATCCACTTTTGAAGGCCTTGCGCTTCTGAGCCGCTTCATCCAACTCTTGCGGTTGCGGCTCTTCCCGAAGCGCCTGATGAGCGGCGTATGATAGTATGATGGGAGGTGGGTCAACAAAAGGGCTCCCAACTTGGGAACTCGTATTGCAGCTTAGCTTTTGGTACTACTAGGAGCAAGGACGCTACTAGGGGTACTATATACTAGGAACAAGAATGCTGCTAGGGGCTCCTGGCATCGCTACTAGGAACAAGAATGCTACTAGCTTTCGGGGCTCAAGGCTCTTAAGCTCACGGCGTCGGGTCGCCCGCGGGCCAGCTGCTGCTCGCGAGAGCAGGGTTGGCTGTCCACAGAGACTAATCACATTCTGATTGGTCACCCGTGTTCATTTTGGCCTTTCGGAATTGTGTCCAGCCCTAGTCTCGTGCCATGACCGAAGTGGATGAGCTGGTTTCGGACCTGCGTGATCTTGTTTGGTCCGCGAGGGCCCGTGGTGTCTTTGCGGGGTTGACTTCGGGACCGGTGTGCTTTGGGAGGAAATGACCATTTTGGCAGGGGCCTTCACTGGCCACCTTTCGGATGCGATCATGATTGACCTCGGACAATTTGTTGCACATGTTGGGTTCATGTTTGAATCCACCACTCCTCGCTCTCCTTCCAGGCAGGAGACCAGATCATGTGCTGTGGGCGAATTCATCGAACGTCTACGACATCATGGAAAGGAGGCGCGAATGTGACACTCACGAAGAGGCCAGTCTTCGACGTGACTGCTGAATGGGATTTTGTCCATCATTTTGCTGGAGCATTTCATGGATGGGGTCAGGCTGTCAACGTGCTTCGTAAGCTGGTGGAAAACTTCCGCATTGGTGCACAGGTGAGCGTCGATTTCGATTCCGAAGTTGCCCAGGTCTGGATCGAACGCCACAAGCTGCCACGCAATGTTGGACCTCTTTTTCCCAAAAGAGCCTTTGAAGCTCATTCGCAAGCCTTTGTGCAAACAAATGTACTCGACCACGCCGTGTTTCATCTCATCCCACCGCAAGCCAATTTGCGCTTTACGGCCTTGCCACCCTGCCAGCCATGGTCCCGGGGCGGTCGCGCGGCTGGCATAGCTTGCCCAAATGGATGGGCCTTCGTCGATGCCATTAGGATCACTATTGCAGGCCAACCACACATGTTGACTTTGGAGTGCGTTGATGAAGTGTCTTCACACGGTCACTTCGCCCTGTTGTGTGAAACGCTGGATCGTGGAGGGTACGGGCGCGCGTGGCATCACGCGGCGCCTTCGCACGTTAATAGACCAAGGTGGCTGGGAGTTTGGCTGCGCAGGGACATCTTTGTCGAGACTGAGGGTGTGTCATTGCCTATTCGAGCCGAAAGGATCATAACATGATCGCAACATTACCGTTTTTTGCTGCCTAAGCCGCTCCGCGATCAGCTGTCTCTCTCGCAATCTGAAATGTGCATTTATGGAGATGTTCGCTTGTTGCCTCCAGTGAAGCAGAAAGCATTGCCGACAAATGCTTCCACACTTCGGGTCCTTCGGGAGAGAGCGCAAGATCCTTTTGAAACTTTGCCCACATTGTGTGCCTCCTACGGCAACCAGCGCAATTCGTCGAAACCACATTTGCTTGAAAAATGCATCTTTGCTGCGCTGGACTGCGATGGCAAGGGTTTTTTCTTCATCGGTCCAATGGCTCACAGCAACATGCACAGGTCTGCTGATGACAGTAGCAAGTAAGTGAGCCTGCAATCGCTGCCATGTTTGCCCAGGGCATACATGAAGAGTAATTAGCAATGAATCCTTCCCAGCGTGAGGATTTCCCACGCAAGGTTCCTGCAGGATTTGTCTGCCAACCGCTGTCAACTGGTCTAGATAGCTGTGAAATCCTAAGATCTCAGAGGGCCTCGTGTTCTACTTACTAGTGTCTGGTACAGGCATAGCTGGTAGGATCTTCGAGTCGATACTCTTAAACAAACTCTTTTCGTCCCTTCCGGCAGGTTCACTGCCGCTTCCGGCTGGGGCCCCTCCACTTGACACTGGCCCGAGTGGGGCTCTTGAACCAAGTCCTGCCGACCAACCTCCATCAACATGAGCCACGGAGTCTGTTGCGATGTCGTCCAAAATGGTCCTTGCATTTCGGCCGCAAGCCATTTAATTTGACTTTGGGTATTGGATTCAAAGCTCTCCTTTGGTGGGATGTGTCTGCGCAATCCATTGTTCTGCTCTAGCTTCGTCATCCATATGCTCTATTGAGGCTTTCGTCCAAGGTCTTACCATTGATGCTGCGTTGGTTCCACCGGAGGGTGACTATGTTGAGTGGAAGCTCACCCATTGCCGATCTGAGGTCACCAAAATCGTCTTTCTTCCAGCCGATTGGAACGTCTGCCAAGTCCCCAAAGATCTTTCAGTGGAAGTTCGAGGTGCAGAGTCACATCCTCTGCCGCAATGAAGACTACAAGAACCACCACCAGTACTCTCTGCGGGGTTTCGCAACCATTGTGCAGAATTGCCAAGTGTGCATTGACGGAAGACCTTTTCTTGATGCCCTCACGCAGTACCACCAGTCCAAGTCTCCTGACTACATCAGTGCACATGCGCCAGTCTCTCCAATTGTGCCCCCCCACTTTGCCTCCTGGCAAGCCGGCACCGTCGCCTGGGTGTGCTTCGAACCCATGTCCTTTGGATTTTGAGGCCATCGCCCCCACCAAGGCCTTCCGCCGTGTCCTGGCTTCCACCGAAGCGTGTCTTTCGAGCAATCGAGGTGTGCCTGCGTTGTTTGCCTTGCGGTCCCCTGCGATGTCCTTCACTGGACTTGTTCCCGAAACGGTGCTTGATGATCATGATCATGGTGAGCTTGAGCCTTTGCGTAAGCGCCTTCGGCTGACCATCTCGAGGACTGATGCGCCAAGCCCATGTGCCTTTTTCATTCCCAAGCCTCAAGAGTGTGGGGTTGCTCCGTGGTTTGCCTTCATTTGCGCCAATGGTGCCATCGGCGTCGCCTGCTTCCACCAGCAGCCTAGTGACTCGAACCTCATGCACATAGGCCAGAACATCTTTAAGATTTACAAAAAGAATGGCACCCCTTCGTCCGTTCATTTCCAAATTGGCCATGGTGACATACTTGCTTTGACTTTCCAAGGGCCCATCCGGGCTGGGGGGCATCATGCAGGGGGACCCCATGCGCTTGCTCCGGGAGCAACCTTCGGTGCCAGATGTGAATTTGCCGTGAACACCTCAGGGTGGATCGCTATCGATGAAGTGACCTTTTGGGTGCAACATGTGCAGTGGACCGCTCCCGGGTATGCATATTTCTCCATGCCGGTTCTGTGGGATGATGCAGTCTGTGATTTTGATTTCGGGCTGCAAGCCGAGTTCGCAATCCCGAACAACAAGCTTCGTGCTCACTGGTGTGCTGTTGAGGTCAATCGAGCCAGTCACCTGGTCACTGTGGTTGTGTTGGGACTCCCGGGTCCTTACTTTCACACAGTTGTCGCTGCGGTTGCAAGGCTTCTGGACTTTCATCCCAGCAGACTTGCTGCGTCCACGGTTGCCCTCCCGGACTTTCCGCATATGTGTGGATGGATTCTCCTTGACAGATGGATCAGAGCGGCCGGGCTCCAAGATGAGCTCCCCCCCATCAACGATGGTTTTGAGCAGGTCTCCCTGGAAAAGAGGGGGTGAACAAGAACGCTACTACCGCTACTAGGGGCTTAGCTTTTGGTGGGTATATAAGAGGGTTGACTCTTGATGAACAAAACGGCGGCTGGCCGGCGAGTTCCTGATGAATTCATAATCTACGTGTGTACAAGGTTTCATAGTGTTTCCAAGATCCTTCCGTGGGCTAGAACTAGCAATCTTCCAGTGTCCAGCCGCGCCTGATCCTCACTCATTGACTCCGGCTGCTTGGGGACTTGCGGTGCCTCTTTCATCGGGACATCTTCTTGCGCCTGAATGCTCTGCTTAAAGATACAATAAAACGAAAATGATAAGAATAAAATGCAGCTCAAAATATGCAACACGACAAGGAGGTACAACAAAGAATAATGACTCCATTCAGCTGAGTCGCAGGTTCCTCCCCTTTGTTGGCCTCAAGCTCTTTGGCCTTTGCAGCTGCTTTATTCTTTTCCTGCCTTTCCCTGGCTGCCTTGGCTCTGGCTTCCCTGGCCAAGCGATTCCTCTTCATTTCTTCAAGCTCCTCCACGTAAGTGAGGGTTGTATCCCAGGCGGTTGTCGGTCGGCAGGCCCTGCAATGAAGCTACGGCAAGGAATCACAACGACCCTTTGGAAAGTCTTGGTGCACGGGTCGCCATCCGCTGCTTTGTCTACAAGAGCAACAAGTAAAGTCTGTCCCACGGCCTTCGTTCGAACGGGTTGATTTTTGTGGTCTCATTCTCTTCGTGCTCCAATGCATACCTTCAGGATGAACCAAGAAAGGATCAAACATTA